TCTGAAATGTCAGCAGTGGCCTGGGTGATCTTACCCTGACATTTCAGATGTCACAGCGGTGAAAGGCATGGTGTGATGTGGTATGAAACTCAGTGATTCCCATAACCTTGACTTCCTTTGGTATTAAAATAAATTGAAAGGAATTTCATAACATGAATTAGATTTCCAAATCATCATAAATAAAATCCATTGATCAAATATGAACTTCATTCAAAGTATTCTAAAAAAAAATTAAAAATATGTAATGAAATATTATAAAAGTGTCTTCCATACATTTAACAAATTTTGAATTACTTTCAAACAGTAAAGTAGTTTTTTTAGTGTAGACATTTTATTGATGAGGTATAGTACAGGTTATTAGTTTGCCCATGGTCAAGAAGTCAACAAAAGCTTGTCTCCGTGTAATTTTACAACCAAAGTCTGGTATATACAAGACATATAATCACACCAGTGTTTCTTCCAGACTTTTTTCTCCGGGAGGGGGGCACTTGAAATTTTCGGGGGGGGGGGGGGGGGGTAGACTTTCTTCGGGGGGTGGGCGGACACTGTTAAAAGTATATATTTTCTATATAGATTATATAAATTTTATTTCGTTCGGGGGAGGGGGGGGGGCGGTAAAAAAATTTCCGAAGGGATGCCTGGAAGAAACTCTGTATCACACAAACGTCATAACGACAATACCCCGTCAACTAAAAGATAGTTTTCTTGTGCTCTTCTTCCTATCTACAAGGTCCGGAAACATTGCTAAAAACATTATATTTTCACTAAAAAGGTAGTTTATCATGAAGTATTTTTTAAAAAAAACTGATTTGAATAGATTTAAAAAGTTGAATCTTTAATGGAATTGAGCAACTGCGTGCATCAGATAAATTAATACCATCTGCTTGAGCAGACCAAAAAGAACTTACAACTGCTGTTTCAGTTTAAAAACTCTTGTTTAAGTGCACATATTTTATATACATATATATATATATATATATATATATATATATATATATATATATATATATATATATATATATATATATATATATATATATATATATATATATATATATATATATATTATTTATTTAGTTATTGCATGCATATTTAAAGAATTATCAATATAGATATCGATCCATTAAAAGGCGATCACATAGTGCTGTGAGGTCAATCAAAAACTCGTATGTGTCGTGTGACACAAGCGTGCTGTCCCTAGCGTGCTGTCAAATCACCAGTTATCACTCGATACACGTCTGATGTACTCTCCATGCCTGGGCGGGGAATCGACCCCGTGTACTTTCATGGCAGACAGAATAGTGAGCAGAGTTACCGCCAGGCATCTCTACTTATCTCCCCCTAATGAGATTGAATTGTTAAAGAAAATATTATACTTTTACCTTATAAATTCTATATCGTTCGTAGGTTATAATGTATAGGTACTTTTATCACAAACTCTGCGCAAAACAACTAGCTACATCACCATACAGGCTGTAGATTGCAGCTATTTGCTCCCCAGTGGCTTGAAAGCAATAATTCAAGTTATTCACATTAGGAAAGAGGAAAGTAGTTAGACCAAAACAAACTTGGAAAAGCTCATTTGTCAGAGAACCAGAAACAGCTGGAATGTCGTTTGTTGGTGAGGTTTGGTTGTGTCACTTTGCTTCACAAGTGGTCCACAATGATGATGATATACTTTAATCAGTTTCCGCCCATCCGGAAATTAAAGTCCATCACCCGAAAAGTTCCAAGCGCCCCTGGGAGAAAAATGTTTGGTTTTGAAGAAAAGACCCTTATACAAGTCCAATGTTGAATTCAAGGGTTGTCATTTCGATTATCTAAGTCTCCCATAAACGAAATTACACGCCTGAGGGGGAGGGGTGGTGGATGTACGTGACGATGCGTAACGACAGAGAAAGGAGGGGGGGGGGGGCTTCAGAAAGTATGACAACAAACTTCGACATTGAAAAAAAGAAAAATTCGAAATTATTTTTTGCTGTAAATGCGTTAGTTTTTTTTTTTTTTTTTTTTTTTTTTTTTTTTTGTAATGTTTTTTTAAAAATTGTAATAGAAATGTATTTAGATTACATAGACCTTTTCAATTATGACCAATCTCAGAAACTATTATGGTAAGAAATCTTTAAAAAAAAATAAAAGCTGCAATTTAGGGGCTTTTTATAAAGATGTGATGAAGGAGAGAGGGGAAGATAAAACTTGTTATAAAGCGTGGCGTCGTTTATAGATCAACACTTATATAGTAGTCGTTGATTGTTAAGTTTGCCGTACTCCTAAAAAAGTTTGGTTTGTTTAGTTACCAGGTAACCACCTAGACCAGACCACGTGTTTCAACACCTGACATATCACGTGACCAAAATCTGGCCAATTGGGCCACGTGGACGAGTCACGTGGGTGGATAGCGTCATGCACGCATCACACGCTAGTTTAAATTTAAATGCAGACACAGTGCTGTGTAGGGGATGGCGTGAATTGATGTAGTTGGTTTAGGCTTAAGGTTAAGGTTAGTTAACTAAGGTACTGGTCTATATACTTTTTCTTATAAGTATAGTATAGTATAGTATAGTATAGTATAGTATAGTATAGTATAGTATAGTATAGTATAGTATAGTATAGTATAGTATAGTATAGTATAGTATAGTATAGTATAGTATAGTATAGTATAGTATAGTATAGTATAGTATAGTATAGTATAGTATAGTATAGTATAGTATAGTATAGTATAGTATAGTATAGTATAGTATAGTATAGTATAGTATAGTATAGTAAAGTGTAGCGTAGTGTAGTACAGTACAGTACAGTACAGTCTAGTAGAGTAGAATAGAGTATATAAGGCATATACTATAGTATATTACAGTCTAGTATATATTAGTATGGTATAGTTTTTTTTTTTAAATTTAGTACTATAGTAATATGTATAGTAGAGAAATAGAAGGCAGGAGGTCTAGGTAAAAAAAAAAAAAAACCAAAAGAACAACGTATTTACATTAAAAGATACAATGGCAGATAAATACAGATATATATATAGATAGATAGATAGATAGATAGATAGATAGATAGATAGATAGATAGATAGATAGATAGATAGATAGATAGATAGATAGATAGATAGATAGATAGATAGATAGATAGATAGATAGATAGATAGATAGATAGATAGATAGATAGATAGATAGATAGATAGATAGATAGATAGATAGATAGATAGATAGATAGATAGATAGATAGATAGATTGCTTCTAGAATGAGCTGACTGGATAATTATACGGGTCGATTCGTAATGACGTCATTCTAGCGACCTTGTCGCTTTTAATCGATGACGGTTTTTACCCCCCACCCCTTCCCCCCACCATCCCCACCCCATCCCCTGCCACAGGCTGCCTGCAGACGTTGTAGACAGGAGGGGGTGGGGGTAGATGGTGATTGCTGTGGAAAGAAAATCGATGCGTTCGCTGGCTGTGACGTCATAAGATGGGAATCACCCCCGCGCAGGTACCCCCATCCCCGGGAGAAAAATCTAGCGCGTGTGTGTTTTTGTGTAGGTGTGGGCGTGTGTCTACGCGTGTTATTTCAAAACAAAACTTTTAAGAGAGAAAAAAAAAACACTGGATGCAGCCGTGACGTCACGAAGTCGATAGATAAAACGGCCCGACCATTGGCCCAAATTGTTTGCCGGAATTATTTCTTCGTCCCTTTGACGTCATCAGCACGTCATCTCCCCCGTGTGACACGGGGTGTTTTCTAATTCGGACGACCAGATATGGAGGCGATCAATTGTCCTGGATTCGGTTTGACGTCATCACGCCGGCGTGCTATTAGCCTTTTGTTTCCAAGTTTTTTTTTATTTTTTTAGTTTAAAAGCTTGCAATAGCACTGTTGCGAGACACACGTTGTTACAGGGGATAGGTGGGTGGGGAGAAGTGGTGATACAGGGGATGATGGGGGTAGGGGTTTGTGAGCTACAAGGATGCAACAATGTTGAAATAAAAGGAGGTGCTATGAAACAGTTAAAGACCTGATGTTTTTCAAAGTGGCAATGCAGTATCAAAACAGGAGGGGGTGGGGGGTGACATGTTTCAGAGAAAAAGAAAATAGTTTGCACTTCAGGAATACAAAACAAGCAAAAAAAATGTGCAGAGTTAGCGAAGATTTTTTTTTTAAATACCAGTTTTTCTCTTCAGTCAGCGAATAATCAGAATAATAAGTTTTAATGGTAACTTGCAAACCAGTTTTTTTATAATAACCATACTTCTATTTTTGTTATTAAATAAACAAATTATTAGCGTGTGATCGCATGGGTTATATAATATTTTTAGTTGAAAGTAAACTATGTTTTGGGGGTAAAAAGAAAGTCTATTCCAATTTTATAAAACAGAATTAATTTTTTAAGCAAATTACTGTTTCCATTTAAAGAAACTCTGTTATGTCTGACGTACTGTTTTATTTTTCTCTCAAGACATAAAGTTTCTCCCCACCCTTACTGTTATCCCCCTTGTTCTTAAAGTTTGCGCTGGGGTGGTTGTTTGATAGGTCCTTATATATATATATATATATATATATATATATATATATATATATATATATATATATATATATATATATATATATATATATATATATATACATATGCCTATTTATACATACATATATATGCTTATATAAACATACATATATATAGATGCACACACACATATATATATATATATATATATATATATATATATATATATATATATATATATATATATATATATATATATATATTTATGTATATATATATATATATATATATATATATATATATATATATATATATATATATATATATATATGTATATATATATATTTATATATATATATATATATATATATATATATATATATATATATATATATATATATATATATATATATATATATATATATATATAAACCACAATGAAACATAAGAAATAAAAGAGAAAAAAAACCGTCCATTGTTTTATTAAAATCTGATCGTCAAGCTCAAAATGTATTGTGAAACAAACAGACATCCACCTCGGGTAGGATTACAGGGGTACTCTTATTATATCTGTAAAATTAACTTAAAAACGGTTTCGAAATAGGTTTTGTTTTTGTTTTGAAAAGAAATAAAAAATACAGCTATATTTTGTAAACTAATATAAAAAAAAATTAAATATTTACAATGAAACATCTTACTCTATTTAACTAGTATCGTTTTACAAAAAAAAAAAAGGGTTTTCATTTGCTTCTTGTAAAACGTATACCACTAGCTTTGGTTTAAGCAAATGATATCTTTTTATGTGTAGGAAGGGAGGTAATCTCATTCAATCTCATTTCAAACCATCACGCACGTTTTTGTAAGAGTGACTTTAAGTCTGTTGTTGGCTATCTTGTTGATACACATTTTAAGCGTCTTTTCAATACTGGAGTATGGATGACCTGGAAAAAACAAAAATTAATTAAAATTTACAAAACAATTTAAATGTGGATTTTATATCAAATAACACAATACTGTAATATGGAAATCCTATTTTGTAAAAACATTTTTAAAATTAGTATCATTTTAATTTTTAAAAAAATGTAAATTGCTTTATACGTACACTTTAATGAGCTCACTGGATGTAAATTACGGCTGTAACTAATTACTAATTATCCCCTCACCTTATTAATTACCTAAAGAAAGAGAGAAAATATAGCTACTTTTTTTCAGGTATAGAAATAATTAAACCATAACACTAAAATGTGTCCCTTTATGTACTGCATTATTGTATTGAACAATCATTACAATCTAGACATTTTTATATTTTATGTATTCTTACATGTTCATTTTATACTACTTAGCAAGCCACCAAATAAAAGGGCAGAGGTTAATGTATTATGGTTATACCACTTATCAATAATGATGATGAATGTTTCAAAGCGAAACCAATGAACATTGATTTTGTATTTAAGTATTAAACAATAACTGTATGGTTTAGAGGGACGTTACAAAACTATGTAATCTGACGTCACTCAACTGTGTAGTTTGACGTCAACATGCTGTTTAATTTGACGTCACAATATTGTGTAATTTGACGTCACAATACTATGTTATTTGACGTCACTGTATAATCTTACATCATAATACTATCTAAATTTGACATCACAATAGTGTGTAATTTCACGTCAAAAAGCCGTGTAATCAGACGTTTACTACTGTACGTTGATGACCCATATGTAAGCAGGTTGATGTCACAAAACATGGTCGAATACATCGTCACAATCTGTTTTCCCCAAACTAAATATCTCCAAGCGACTGGTCAGACGTATGACGTCACACACTCTGGCACGGCAGGCGAGTATCAGGTTGACCTAACCTCCCAGACTCCCAGATAAAAACAAATGCTTACAGACCAGGTTATCAGGTCAGTCGCTGGAAAAGTAAAGACCGTGTTGCTTTCAGATACCCAGGAGACGATACACCTAAAGGGCACGTTGCCATTGCAGTTTGCACCTTGAGGAATCTGATAAAGTTTAGTTATATAATCATTTAGATCAGTCACTTTTGCAACCATTCATTAAGTTTAATTATTTATACAGTTAAGTTTCTCCGCTCTCAAAGGATTAAATAGATAATGAAATTAGTCTAGAGTTTTAATATTGATTAACTTACGAATGTTCTCTCTTTCCGTCTGCTTTCCTTGTAGACTTCCTCTAATGTTTGAGGGTATTATTGATTGACTTCGTTGTAGATTTCCTATAATGTTTGAGCACATTATTTCACGCTTTCACTGTTTAAAGATTTTAGAAGACGAGAGATAGATGTTTTTAGGTGTATGATGTGACTGTTTGAATAAAGAAGCGTTTTCAATTACAAAACATAAAATTTTAAATGGTATTTTAAGTCATGCACACATATATATATATATATATATATATATATATATATATATATATATATATATATATATATATATATATATATATATATATATATATATATATATATGAGTATTTCTGTATCTGTATATTTATCTGTATATATATGTATGTATGCATTTATATATAGAGAGTCTTGCAGCGTCGAGTCTAGAACCTAATAAACCCCTTTCGTTTCTGGAGCTGATGAATGCATCTGGATACTTTTAACCACTCCAATGTAACCCACTTTCTTTTTAAATATTTTTTTTGTACCTCCATTAGTTAAAAAGAAAGCCATTAGGAGTCTGATACCTTTATGTTTTGACCTTGCCATTCACTTCCTAGTTCCACAACCGCAGACTCCACATAAGTACACATCTCTGCCCCCATAATGCATACATTAAAACCCCGGTTGTGTTTCCATAATGCACGCGCCATTCCAGACAAACCAGACTCCATTAGCCTGACACTAGTGGAGCAGACGGGGGGGGGGGGGTCTGGCCAAGGTCTCTTCCATCACGTGATGGCGTGCTTTATCGATCGATCCTGCAGGGAAAATCGTTGCGTCAAGCAAGATCTGCAGAAAAATTCGAGGTTGCGTGTTGCTCGTGTAAGGGAGGCTACTCATGATAAATAAATAAAATAGGAATAGAAATTGCGTTTACCTCCCTTGTTTTGTTACTAGACTAAAAGGTAGTTTTATAAAACAAAAAAAAATTTAAATTGTAAATAAAAAAACAATATGAACAAAAACAGGTTTGATAAAAATTATATTTGGTCAACTTTTCTTTTCATAAAACATGGTGCACTTTCCATTTTTTAGTTTGTACTTAAGTTCTTTCATTTGAATAATTCGACTTTGTACGTAATACAGTACCCAGATCTCTACCCCCACACCATAGCGCTACAATCCAAACTTATTGAACCTAATTGAGATTAATTGGTTGTAAATTTAACATGTTAAAGTAACTACCTATAAAAAATTGGATTTAAGGTGTCTAATGTACACAACACAAATTTTGCGTTATGAAGTGTTAGTTCAGCTTTGAGCTACTATTATAATATATGTCACAAAATATGAGTATATAATTTATACCAGTTCAGCTGTAGGTTACTACACTGGCAAGCGTGTCTTCAAATCACTCAAGTCTCTAATGTAAAGTATGTAGGTACAAATATGAACAAGAAAATGTGCAGTTATTTAGAGTAAATTATTGTAAGCCTGTGGTGGTCAAGAGGTAGACTAAGTCTCGAGTTCGAATCCGGGTTAAGTCAGTAGAACGTCTCTCAGTTGACCCAGCTCTAATGGGCACCTAACATAAGTTAGGTAAAGTAAAGGCGGCTGGATATAGTGCTGACAACACTATTCCTTCATATCCGACTCACAGAAACAGATTTACATTACTTCACTTCACCATCAGGTTTGTAAGGGAACTGTACTTATTTTATTTTAAACCTGTCGTTTTGATTTTAAGTATCGACTCGACTTATTAGTTAGATGCCTATGTAAGAGTTGAATGCTACACCTTTATTTTCAACTAGATACATACAACATGTACTTTTTTGTTTGTCAACTGAAGTTAAAAAAAATGTAATACAAATAAATGTATAAGTGTTGTTATTTGCATTAAAAATATGGTGCAAAATGTAAAAAGAACTATTTTTCTGTAATTAAAATTGTATTTTTAAGCGATATCATTCTAATTGCAAATGTGGTATAGCATTGTTGATATCTGTGTTAATAAATATCGTAAATTGGTATGTGAGTGGGGATAATTGGGTTAAAATAATGAAGTACATATTGTGTAGGATAGATCATAAAATGTAGGTTTATGGTCCAGTTTTATAATGTGCTTGTTTTATTAAACAAGTGAGCAGGTAGTTTGGTGAAGTTGCCAATGTATTTTGTTATAACCCATCTATGCACTTGACCGGAGGGTAGATAACTGTCCAGTGAAACATCCCGGTTAACAAGCACAAAGGTCAAACCTTTCGTGAACCAACCCCACACAACCACTAACACAACCACCAACAAAAACACTACCACCACTATTACCACCACTACTATCAACACTGACTACATCAACACAACCAATTACGCTACCACCAGCACCACCACCAATATCACCATCACCACTTCTGTCACAATCACCAATACCATCACCAACTTCACCACCACCGCTACTAGCTATGCACTACTACATCCATCAACATGACCACAACTACCACTTTAACCATCACCGCCACCTCTAACAACATCATCAACATTACCACCAACACTACCACCAAAATCATTACCTACGCCACCATTGTCACCACCAGAGCCTCCACCACCACTACTACAATCATCACGAACGTTACCACCACAACCACAATGACCACTATCACCAATATTAAAACCACCATCACTCCTGTAACTATTATCATTACCAACATCACCACCACTACCGTCATCAGCATCACCACAACAACCACCACCACAAACACTATCACCACCCACCACTACTACTGACATCACCTCTACTATTACCTCCACTATTACCACAACCACCTCAACCTCCACCAAAACCATTCAACACTACCACCACAACCAACATCACTACAATCCCCCACACCACCACTACACACATAACATACTCAACTTGTTTCTAACACATTCCCTGCATCTATAGGAGATTGTTACTCTTTTGCAGTGATCTAACTCTCACTTGGATTTGTTTTGTTTTCTCATAGTTTAAATACTAGAAGAGGATATGATACATGTTACCTACCATTTTACTCTATCCATCTCATAGTTCTGGAATCATCTCCCAATACAATGCAGACGGCTGCTTTAATGGAAACAAAAGTATATTTCATTCAATTTAGTTCAATCAATATTTAAATTAATAATAAAACATGATATTTAGGACTAGCGTATGCATATGAAAACAGTAGAAATTATTACTGCTGCAATATTTAAAGCACGGATTCAGAATGTAAGAATTTAATTCTTGTTTCATGGATTGATCACCAAAACTATTTTTATATAACTTGAAAATTAAACAGTAAAACATGCATCAATTTGGTTTAACATTTTATTTTGTTTTAAAATTAGCTAGAGTGAACGTTCATAAATATATTGTAGGCTCTTTTCGTTGGTTTCTATGTATAAAACGTCGTGTGCTGATATGTAAATATTACTTGTCTTTGTGTAACCCAGTAATAGTAACAATGTCAACAAAATTCAACATTTGGTTAAAACAAATCAAATGAATCCCCATGAAATGAAATTAAACTTTCATGTTCATATTTATAAATTAAAACATTTGTCTTTTTGGAAATACTTTTGCAAATAAAACTGAAACCTGGTAGGGGTTTGTTTCAGTAATCTCTTCATGGAATACAACCTCCTCCCCCACCCCCATCCCGTAAAAAATAGATATTTTTATGAAAAATCTATACATTACCAGTATCAGCCTCACCCCCCCCCCCCGCCCCCACCCCGAAATCTTCTTGACCTCAACACCCCCCTCCCCCATCCTAAAAAAAGTCTGAAAGAAACACTGAACATGTTACTCTAGGCAACAGTATTGGTTTCCCAATCAATAATCAGCTGATGTAAATTGATGTATTATTGTCTGCAGCTTGCACTGTTATTTTTGTTACACTTAGATCGTTCATTTGTATTTTTTTCTCAACTTTTTTTTAACACAGATCCACAACGACAGCAGACCTTTCATGTGTAATGTTGTTGTGGCACGCATGCATGATAAACGAAAACACATTTTTTTTCGTCCAATTAAACAGCTCTTTAAACTTTTGGTCATTAATTTAGCAAAACCATTAATTATGAAAACATTATTATAGACTTACAATGTAGAATAATAATATATTTTAATAATACTAGTTAAAATTGTAATAATATGTAATACACAGTACTAAGAAACAAATTAACTTCTAGTTGTTTGATGTGCATTTCTCCTTTTATGTTGTGTTGTTTGCTTCTATGGAGAAAAATTAAGTACACCAAATGATGCTTATCATCTATTATTAACGTTATATAATATCTAGCTTTATCTTGTTTTAATTTTTTGTATTTCCCATTAATAAGCTATGTTTTTCAAATGAATACCTTTTTGAACCTCAACTCAGCATTTTAGCACGCTATTACGTATGAAAACGGGACTTACTGTGTAGTATAATAATTTATTTAATAATAATATTAATACACTTTTTAATGATATGTAATACATAGCACTGACAAAAATCGACTACTACTTGTTTGATGTGTTATTTTCCTGTAATACTGGAGAGTTTGCTTCTATACGGGGATAAATTAAAGTACACCAAAGGATGCTTATCATCTGTTATTAACGTCATATAATATCTAGACTCACTTGTTTTGACTTTTGTTGTATGCCCAACTCGTCAGATATGTTTTTAAAATTAATAACTCCTTGAACTTCTTCTCAGTACTTTTGGCATTTTGCTAAATACGAAAACAGACTTACAATGTTGCATAGTAATTTATTATAATAATATTAATACAGTTTCAATAATATGTAATACATAGCACTTCGGCTACTAGTATTGTTAGATGTGGTAATTTCCTCAATGAGAAGAATTCGCTTCTATGGGGAAAAAAATGAATACACATTAGGATGTTAATCATCTTGTATCAAACTTTACATAATATTTAACCCAGCTTGTTTTAATTGTGTTGTAGATCCCTCGAATTAGCTATGCTGTAATAATGATGCATCTTACCTTCATCTTACCTTCATCTTACCTTCCAACAGCAGCATCGACAACATCGTATCTTCATCCACGTATTGGGTCTCGCACTGTACGACCTTTGACCCCACTATCACTCAATACCTTCAAATTATTTCATTTCGCCTCCAGTTATATCCAATCTATCCACATTTGAAAATATTTTATTATCCAAGTTTTGAAAAACAAAATAGACTACTTCATTTGTATTATCCATTAAATGCATCTTAGTCGAATCCATCTCAATCGTCCATTTAATTTACAATCCTTTGTTTTATAACCAACACCGTTATAATATATAATCCAATACAAATTTCGATAAATAATCCTTTACATTAAAATGCCTACTAATAAAACAATGGCATAACTTGAGAATAAACAATACGATGAAAAAATGTCCTACTTCGGACAAATGTCGATATCCTGACATACACACCGTGTACAATTTGACCCAGTAAATGTCCACTCGTCTTATGTAATGTAAATCCAGAACTCCAACACGAAATCACAGCTAATAAAAATCACATCACTTGATAAACAACATTTCGTGATCTTATCTTATATTGCAATGTATAAACAACTCGTATCATGCAATATCCTTCGATAACAACGTGAAAGTCAGCATAGATTTGATGTGTTATATCACGCTAGACTTGTTACTCCTAGACCACACCAGCGCTTTATGAACTGGCCCCGAATGTGATGTGTATATATATGTTCAAGGATCATATAGTTAACCATGTGCGTAAATTCCTATTGATGGGGGGGGGGGCTCATTACGCACAGGGCCCCCATGGCCATTTTCATTAATGACGTCACGCCTGCGTCAGAACAGTTATTGGAATCGAGCGTAATCAATAGTTTCCCTCTGTCGTGGAATCGATTCTTTTTTGTTCCCCTGTCGCCCGAAATAGCTCCGCGCGCTCGTCAGCTAGCTCGATTTAGCCCGGGGGTCATGTATGACGCGAGCCGCGCCCAGCCTGTGATGTGAGGCCCGGGCACGGGCGGTCGATACTTCTGCTGTCACTGAGGCTATTTTTAGAAACCCTGAGCCAGAAATAGCTGACAAGATGGTCGCGTATATTGATCGGGTTAGTTTTATTTAGGGAAATGTAAACATTAGTTAAGATCTCTGGGATTGATTTATTACTCTGATGAATATAGCTGATCTCAGCAAATTTACTTCATTCAACATGTTTACGTGTGCTTCTATTCACACTGCCTTCTCTATCTAACATTCTAACACAGAGATACTGTTGCTGCTACACAATCTAGATCTATATAGGGATTTTTTCTCGATGGGGAGGGGGGGGGGGGGGGTCGTCCATAAATGACGTCACGCTTTTTTTACGATCTTTAACTCCCTCCCCCTCCTCTCCGTCACACATCGTCACAAAAAGACAGACTCTCCCCCCTAAAATGACATTACACCTCCGCCTACAACCCCCCCCCCTCTCTCAAAAATGCAGTTGAATTTTTCTTAAAAAAATTTAATTTTTTCCAAACTCTGTCAACTGAGTGTTTTCATCAATTCCTATTATAACTTATTAACAGTTTTCTAAAACGCGAAATAACTGCTAAAATTCGTTTTGTAATAAAACAGATATATCTAGTATTAGTTACCTCACACGTTAAAGACAGTTACAAATACCATGGACGTTTCCGACCCTCACAGCAGCTACCATTTGTAAAATTCGTGATCTATCATTGCTTTTTTATAATGCAAAAGTGTGACGTCATGCCATCTGATCCCCCCCCTCCCCCTCATCACACACCGTCACAAAATTACTAACCCCCCCCCCCTCCCTCCACACTAAGAGTGTGACGTCATTTATGGACGACCCCGATATCCCGGCGGCCATGACCACCCTTGTATATTGGCTTATATATATATATATATATATATATATATATATATATATATATATATAGTTTTATATATATATATATATATATATATGAGTAGGTCAGAAATGCACCTGGGCGCCGGAGGATGCGCACGGTGTAGTTCGACTATAGAATCAAGTAGAACCAGTGTTTCTTCCAGACTTTTTCCTCCGGGGGGGGGGGGGGGCACTTGAAATCTTCGGGGGGGGGGGGGGGCGGTAAACTTTCTTCGGGGGAGCGGACACTGTTAAAAGTATATATTTTCTATATAAATTATATAAATTTCATTTCGTTCGGGGGGGGGGCGGTAAAAAAATTTCGGGGGGGGGGGCTTTGCCCCCCGGAAGAGATGCCTGGAAGAAACTCTGAGTAGAACCCTGACTGACTGACCGCCTATGCAGAACACACGATTAACTGTTTTATGGAACTCCTAGGGTGCTACTATGGCGAGACACGCGGGGAGCTAACCGCACAATACCTTTGGGGCGCCGCCCCATTAATATTTATTTATTTTATGGCGGGAACCTTCACTGTAGTGTACTCAACAACCTCCCTGAGCAAGATTTGTACGATTTGAATATTCCAAATAATGAATTTCGTTTTCGTCATAAAAACTCTTTTAGTTTTTGGTAGAATTCCTTAATAATAGGGAAGTAACTTTTGTTGAACAAATACATTGCAACACCACAGACAAGGCACAGTTTCTATTTTTATGGTCAATTTTCCAAATTTAATCCATAAAGCTTGGAATATATTTATAATCGCGCACTGCACAGTTATTTTGATATAGGCAAGTGATGATTCCTATTCAGTGGTTTCTATTGTTTGTATTGATCTACCTGCTTACATAACAACGGAGATTCCCGATTAAAAAAAATTTTAATACTGTAGATGATAATAATGTAGGCAATTGTAATTGGTTTTTATTCTATGAACTTTACAAAATAATTGTCTAATATTTTTGTTAAAGTGTTTCGTTACTAGTTATAATCTAACATAAATGAAAGTGAATAGAGTAATTTACCTTTTTTACGAAAATTAGAATATTTTATTAGATTTATTTTTAGCAAACGGAAATATCTACAAGTACAAGTATTTTGCCCCAGTTCGCCAAATTTAATAAAACTCTGAAAGGGCAAATTGATATTTTACAAATAATGATTTGATAAATGGCAAGTAGATAGCATATATTATGTGTTGTGAACTCATATTTAAGATGACAAAAAAACTATAATTTTAATAAACACGTTTTTATGAACTATTAGTTTGATTATTCAACAAAACAATGGAAACTTAAATTCTGAATGAGGATGTGATATCGTCTTTAATTTAAGAATAATACTTTAACGTTTTTATTTCTATATTCTACACGTTTTATGGATACATTTTTGTTGAATATATCCTACCTCTAATCCGTACTTTTACTACGTAAATACGTATAATATTGTTTATATATTTAATTACATCATTAAACAATGGTTCGAATTCTACCGAAAAGTGAAACTAAAACTTTTCGAGGTATTGGGATTTTCCGAACATTCTATTACTTATTACTGTAATATAAAAACCATAATCTATAAACTTACGACTCAAATGATAACAGGTTCTTATTTTTATTTCAGTACAAACGGGGGTGTCAACTTAAAATTGATCTCTCTAATAGAAACAGACTTTGATCTCTCGTCAGTCTGCTTGATAAAATGTCCCATGATGATCATAGTTGGGAAACCTGGGTAGATTCTGTTCAATCGTCTCAAGGTAATATATTTAGTTACTTTTTTGTACAACAATTTTACAGTCTGACTTCATAATAATATAGGCCTACGCAGAGGCGTAGCTATGGGGGGCGGGGGGGGGGGGGGCGGCCGCCCCGGGCGCCGACCCTGTGGGGGCGCCAAAAGGGGTGGAAAAAAAATTTAAAGCTGATTTTATGCTGCAGTTTTGAATTATAAACTGTCTAAGTTAAGAAATGTAATGGCTACACGCCTTTACATACTGATTTAACTGTTTTCTACCTTGATTTCTTAATGTAAAACATATACTCTTAAGAAACAGTGACCTGCAAAACCGCTTTGAAGCTTTTCCTAGATGGGGGGGGGGGGCGCTTTTCGAGACTTATATCGGAAGAATTTACACTAGATTGTTGAGTCGATAAACGTTACCACTATTAAAAGAAACCAATTGTATTAAAACGTATTGTACGATTGTTGAACTGTAAAATACGTTAGTGACTTTTATCAAGATGGTGCAGGGGGGCGCTTTTAGGCTAAATAAAATAGCAAAATTACACTGGATTCTGAGTAAACAACCTTTAGCTCTCAGAAAGAAACGAATTGTACTGTGCATTGTATAATTGTGTAACATTTAAAAAAAAAAGTTAGTTACGTTAGAAACCGCTCTACAAACTTTGTCCAAGATGGTTGTGATGAGTGTGTGTGGGGGTGGGGGCGCTTTTTTCGCTAACAAAAAACGCAAGTATTTGTACTGGATTGGTGAGTAGATAACTCTCTTAACTCTTAGTAAAGAAACCAAGTGTATTAACGCGTAATGTACAATTTCAATAGCCAGTTTTGTTTTAAAAAAAAGACGCGACTAGTTCTTTGTAAGATTCTTACGATTCTCTCAACTTCAACGTGAGAGATCAGATACTTTTGATTGATTGCATTACATCTTACCTGGATCACTGAACTATATTAAAGAGAACTAAATATCACGGATTCTTGAATCCCTAAGCCACTAACCACCACTTTTTTCCATGCTCTTATTTCATTCTCCACTGTCTGTAATCTAGCTCCAAGACATACAGTAAAAGAGACCACATTTAGTTATAGATCCTGATTGAATTTTTTCGACAATGCATTTGAATTCCACATTTTCTTAGAGTGTTAAAACGCATTTTATTGCTGCTGATTATAATCAGAACGTCATGGGCTATCATTAAATTTATTGTTACTGCTTCTTCAATCAATACAATTAGTTCTGCATTTGTTGTTGACGTTGTGCGAGCAGTGTTTCTTCCAGACTTTTTTCTCCGGGGGGGCACTTGAAATTATCGTAAGGGGAAGGCGGTAGACTTTCTTCGGGGGGGGGGGGGGCGGACACTGTTAAAAGTATATATTTTCTATATATAAATTATATAAATTTCATTTCGTTCGGGGGGGGGGGCGGTAAAAAAATTTCGGGGGGCTTCGCCCCCTCCCCCCGAAGAGATGCCTGGAAGAAACTCTGTGTGCGAGAAGGCAGGGCAAATCTGCGAAATCCAAGACTACGAGCTGGTAACATCCGTTGGATTCCAGTTTGTTTTCTCTAGCTTGTTTTGTCATACCATCAACCAATCAACGAAATACCCATGTCGTATTCCAATGTGAACAATAAATATTTCTGATAACTTCTTCTTGTATGTCACTTGTGTTTCCTTACTCTAACAAACTTCGAATCCAACTATGTACCATATCACAACAGAGATCGTTCAAAACTAGAACATAAAAGGCTGGTCTAAACATATTAGCGTTAGCTACAAACTACCCTCTAACACAGATCAGGCTTATTTTTTTTTACTGACATTACTAATCTTTCGCAAAAAAAAAGTTAAATGCATCTTAATGGGAATTAAATTGTCGTAAAGTTTTAAGGAATGAAAATCATACAATGTAATTATTAAACCTTGTCCGGACTGTAGCATACACGCTTACACACACGCTTACACACACGCTTACTCACACAAATACACTCTTACCCACACACAAGCTTATATATAAAAACACACTATCACACACACATAATTATACACACACACACATGTATATATATATATATATATATATATATATATATATATATATATATATATATATATATATATATATAAGCGGGGGGAGGGGCGCCAAATTGAAAGTTCGCCCCGGGCGCCGGGAAGGGTCGCTACGCCTCTGGGCCTACGGCGTATGATTAATAGTTGAGGACAAAACATCAATTTAAAAAAATGCTTTGAAAACATTTTATTTCAATTTATTTTAGCTTACACTAAAGCTTATTTTATAGGAATCGATTAAGTTTACATATTTTAGGTTATGATAGCAGTGTATGACATGAAATTATAAATCCTTTTCTTATGTTATATTGGCTTTTTATTTATTTTTTTATCATTATATTACTATTTAGAATTTATTTTATTCTACTATACAAACAATATAGGATTATATACAAACACAGATTATTGTTTTATTTATGTGTTGACGTATTTAAAAGTACAATTTTTGATTGATTTTGATGCCTTTGTTCGGAAGTCATCTATGTGTACGTATATGTATTTTTTATTGCGTAGATTTATAGGTAAATCTGTAATTAATTGTGTAGACATATGGATCTAGTTGATAGCCACTTATAGTCAATCAAACATTACCCACTTAAAAAGTAGTTAAAAGTGCATAAATAAAATAAATAATATCTTAACCCATATTGGGGACGTTGGGGCACCACAGACTGGTGTGTCTATGGTCAAGTGTCGCAAGGCTAAGTGTCTAGGGCTAAGTGTCTAGGGCTAAGTGTCTAGGGCTAAGTGTCGCAAGGGGGCGTCCACCCCTTTCCATTCCTGACCACAGCCAGATGCCTCCATCTAGGTGCCTCGCATTGGTCCGGACACCAGACCTCCACTAGAAGGTCATACACCCAGTGGTGCCGTGTTAGCATCAGTTGTTTGATCTACTAGTTGGGTTGCTGTCCCCCGTTATCGAGCCTCACATGCCCGGGGATTCGAACTAGTGACTATTCCGTATGGCAACCGTAAGTTTTACCGACCCAACCACACCGACCTCCTTATCATACATACCTAGACTGTTTAGTCCTTCTATTATTTCGCTCCATGCAAACCAAATTGAACTCTTACAGAAGTACTAATACACCACATTATATGTGATAGTTTATTCGTATTAGAAAATACCCCAAACAAACATATATTGCATGTATTTATATCCCTATGACGAATTTGTATATATTTATTAATTTTTTTTTCTCCGTCTAAATACACCATCTTAATGATATAATTATATTTTCTTCAGATGCTGAGATTGAGTTTATTCCAATAGCAAACGATGACCTTGATGTTAATGTTATTAACGCCGAATGCAAAAAATGCGATGATCATCGAAATTTCGTGCCTTTTAACAATTTTACGAAAGATTCTTTGCCAGAGGATTATCGAGACGAGGATGATCTCTTCCAGCTAATTAGGGCATTTGGTGAGTTAACGGTCAGGATAAAAGTGCACGTGTGCAGTGAGAAGAGACCCAAGTTTACACCGGAATTTCCAAAAGGTTATCCTCCATTCGCAGATGAAGGTGAAACGTATGGGACTCCCTTAGCAGATGAAGGTGAAATATATGGGAATAAGAAAGTTTATAAAAAGAGAGATACTGTTTTGGTGGATAATATTAGTAAAGCTGATAAAGGGAGTATAAAAAGTGATGAATTGAGTGATAGACGTAACACGTATGATCCGTGGGAAGATACATACAATAAAGAATCTGATATAGAAGCCATAAAGAGTTGTAGTTTCAATGATCAAGGTGAAGAGTATGATCAATGGGATGAAAAAATAGTGGCGGAATCTGATAAAAAAGCCGTAGAGAGTTGTAATTCCAATGATCAACGTGAAACAACAGTAATGAAATCTGATGAAAGAATCGTAGTATGTGATGATTTCAATGATTCAATGTTGAGAGAATCTGCAAGGGATGATGGGCATTTCGAGAATGATACGAAAGATAAGGCCAATGAACGGTTTAAAGATTCTATGGTAAACTCACCTCAGGCGTCTTTTGGTAGTGGGCGTATACAAGAAGCCCTGTGGTACGACAAGAGATTTGACCACCCTTGCCCATGTGAGGAGTGTGGAGCTTGTCCACACTCAAAACGTGAATGGGGCCTGATACTAGTGCGTACAGCCACCCATGTTGTGTTCAACGCCGAAGAAGCGAAGAGTACAACGTGTTTGCTGGGATACGAGACAAAAGGCTCTAGATGTGCTGTAATCAAAGGCTTCGACACGACAGCGGAACCGGATGTGCCTGGAGACACCTGCGTCTTTGACTGCTACACACACAGTAAAGTTTTGTTTGACAAAATTGAACAAATGATAAAAAGATATAAGTGTCTGCAGAAAAAAGTGGCGTCGAAATTCGAGAAAAAGACGGGCGATAAAAAGCTTGTTGTGATTGTCTCCCACCCACACGGCCTGAACAAGCAGGTGACTGTTGGGGAATGGAGCGATAAGGGAGTGAAGTGTTACGAGACCTGGTATCAGTACAACTCAGTTACCTGCCCTGGGAGTAGTGGCGGCCCAGTTTTTATCCTCAGTAGGCTTGGTCGATTGTCCATTCATCCACACAGCAAAGTCGCAAAGGATAACAAAAATTCAAGTGGATCTGGATTAGGATAACACTTTCAGACTAATAGAGGTTAAGACAATAAAATGAGATAAATATACGGATGTTACCCCCCCCCCTCCTCATTCCATCAATTACCACCTTCCGGAATCTCCTCCAACCCGCCATTACTTCCCCGGGGGCAATTAACCCCCTGCCAATTACCACCGGGTCATTAACCTCCGCCTAGTAGGATGTCCCCCCCCCCTCTCGTTCAACTATACAAAATGGAAATGGATAGCAAAATGTGTAGGTGTAGTATGTATTCCAAAGAGATGAAAACTGAAATACCTAAAATGTCGCTACTGTGGTTTACTTATTTGAAAGTATATTATTTATCTATTTTTACTGAAAAGAAAAGAGTAGGGTCGCTTCTTAAATTTTAGTAAAGGTATTCAATGCATAATTATAGGGACCCTCACTTTTCTTTTTAGTTATTAAAATAGTAGTTCATTATTATATATTTACAGCAAAGTTACTAAAACTTTTTTTATGCATATTGCTTTTAACAACTGGTTTTCTTGTTTGGATTTAATAGAATGTAATCTTTATACAATGCTTTTTTTTGTTCAGTGTATGCATTATTATATTGTAACTTAAATTTATAATTTTGAGGAAAATAAATTATTCGTGGTTTTCTTATTTGTACTTAATGCAATGTAGTCTTGATACAATGCGTTTTTTTTTTGTTCTGTGTGCACATTATTATATTGCGAATTTTAACGTTAAACTATCTAGGAAAATAAATTGTTCCGAGTGAAATTAGAGATGATATATGTTGCTTGTATTTTATAAACTCGCAAAAAAAAACATTTCAAATAAAATCCAACCATATAATCATAAAAAAAATTAAACATCTACTGTTTAAAAATAGCTTAATTGGAGTGTCTCATTCATTGGTGACTAAAGCTAGTGGAAAACGTGCGTTCAAGTCGCATCCATTATTTACAATTTTCGAAATTTTTGAATGTCATACAACCACAACTTTAACTTGCTAATAGTGCTCTATACACTTCATGCTTATGACAAATCATGCCTATGCCAAAAGCCATTTACCAACATGATCGACCATGAAAATATGTTAACCACCATATAATATCCTACTATTCACACAGACTTAAAAATGTGTTTCCACATAATACATAATACCTTACTTGAACATATAATTAAGTCACATTTTCTCACATTGCATAGTGTCATCGTGTCGTAACTTACATGAAGAGTTTGAAAGAAATAGTTTCTTTGGAAGTGGTAGAAATTTTGCTTGCAAATTGTAATTATCAAATTCTGAAGGTTTCTGAGAAATCGAAATTGGAGTAAATTATTCCATCCGGTTAATAAAAATTGCTCAAAAGATGACCAAAATCAGCCAATAAAGACTGTAATATAGCCTTCATAAATAACGTGCTTTGTTCAACCTCGGTTCTCAAGTTATCGGTTTTTTAGAAAGCAGAAATGTGGTACCATTTTAAGATAACAGGTCACTCAATTTCTCTTAAGAACTTATAATTATGTATAAAATATATACAAAATATCGTTTATCTAACCGAAACAGTTCTCAGGTTATCGTGTTACCACGGAAATAAAGTACCACTTTCGGTTATTGGAGGTTTGATATAAAACTGAACATATAATCTTATATTTTCATGCAAAGTTTCTTCCACCTAATTTAAACAGCATTGAAGTTAGAGGCTTTAGAGCAGGGGTCTTCAAACTACGGCCCGTGGGCCGGATGCGGCCCGCGACGTCATTTTATCCGGCCCCGTGACGATCTTTTTGTCCACTGAATAAATGTTTGTTGGAGGTGGCTGAGGAGCTTTGCGCAGAAAATTCAAAGCTATATGAAAATGTAGTTTTGTGTGCAAATACAATTACTCGCCGTGTTGCGGACATTGGTGAAAACATAGTGACTCAAATAGCGAAAAATTCAAGCAAGTTTCGCCATTTTTCAGATCCAATGGATGAGTCGCTGGACAGCTGTTACACCTCTCAACTTCTTGTGCTCATTAGAGGTGTGGATGAAGACCTGAACATAACACAAGAGCAGGTTTCCCTACATATAATGTAAGACACTGTTACCGAAGAGGATATCTAACCATAGATAGTTCAGAGACAAACACAAAATCGCAAGATTTACCATATTTCACTTCAGTAAGATTGCTAATTTTGCGAGAAAATTCTGAGCAGACTTTCTAAGAAAAGAAAAAAAGGTGACTTCCTGATAGTAAAGGCAAGTCACAGCCATTATTGTCTGATGAAGAGTGGGTATAGAAATTGGCCTATGTAGAACTAGTCATTTAAATTTTCTGAACCTAAAACGACAAGAGAGTGAAATCTAGTTTCTGATCTATACACCCACCTAAAGGCCTTTAGAAACAAACTTATCATGTTTTTGGAACAAGTACAGGCTAACAACTTGACACACTTTCAGCAGTGCAAGGCCTTTACGGCTGAGTCAACCACTGAGTTCCTCACGTCATGAGAGATCATCAAAGACCTTCAGCTGCAGTTTCAGTAGCGGTTTTCAAAGGCAGAAGAGGTGAGACTGTTTCAAAGCACATTTGAAGCAAATGTGGCCAGTTGCAAAGATAAACTGCAGCTGGAGGACTTTGAATTGCAAAAAAATGACTTCCTTAGAGACAGGTTGAAAGAAGGGCGGATGTGTTTTCATACGTTTTTCACAAGAAAGACTTTCCTAACATAAAAACTTTTGCATCAAAGTACCTTTCAAATTTTCGAACAACATACCTGTGTGAACACAAAATTTCAAGAATGAAATACGTGAAGAACAATTTGAGAACAAACGTAGACCTCGGGTGGGGGGTGGACACTTGAAATGTGCATATATTTCTATATAAATTATATTTCGTTTGGGGGGAGGGGCGCTAGACGTTCTTCGGGGGGGGGGGGGAGGGCGCCACGACCCTGAAGAGATGCCTTAAAGAAACTCTGGCCCCCGAACAGATATTTGATAGTTAATGCGGCCCTCGGGCTGAAAAGTTTGGAGACCCCTGCTTTAGAGAAACCTCTTTTGATTACCGGAAATCGCTCAAAAGTTAATAGAAAAGCACACATTTTATGTAATACTTATATATGAAATGTGTTCATCATATGTTAAGAGCCTCGCACCCGCAGAACAGGAACAATACGTAAATTTTTTTTTTTTTGGGGAATTGAAGATCCTTATATTCGTGTTGACATAAAATGCAGTAATATAATATAGATAATTTACATCGAGTTAGTATAGATTCTAGATTATCTAGTACAGTACAAGAACTAGTAGCAATAGATCTAATAGATCTACACCACAGTAACAAACGTGAGACCACTTCATCTCTTCAAAACCCCCCAAAAAAACTGCTTATCTACTTCTGATGTAAAAACCACTGCTGTTCTTAGATCTCAGCCAATCTGGGAAACATGTTATTTAATTTATGACCCTCATGGCCCAGAAGGTAAGTGATCCGACACAATATACCAATGCTTCTCCCTTAAAATGTCTTACCTACATGATACCCCTCCCCCCCCCCCCACCTGTTTCTCAACCCAACCTAAAACTTCATCTCTTTATAGGTAACATGGATTATTGCAGCACAGCACAAATGGTATGTTATGTAATTTACGACCATCATGGTCCAGCAGGATGGAGGCCATTTCAAGTAAGCTTCTTACATGTTTAAGTGCCTATAACTTATATAAAATAAACCGGGAGTGATATCCCTTAAGCTTTCTCGAATATTCTTATATAACACTACGGTGGATGGCAAATCGGGTTACATATAATATTTTTAATCAATTTTTAATTACTTAAACTTTTCAAAATAGAATAGAATCTCGTAGAAAAAAAAGAACTACACACCAAGTGAACGCCAAATAAAATGTGTATAATAGTGCGGAATATTATTAGTACTTTATTAATTCACATGCGTTTTTTTTTTGAGAAATCGGAAATAGCCTAAATACTAAATTATTACTTCCGTTCAACGGAAGTTTATCAAAATTTGATAGAAGGCAGAGAATTAGATATTTTACTTATATGTGAAATTTCATTTATCTATCTGAAATACTTCTCAAGTCATATACTTATGAAAAATTGAAAGTAGAAAAAGTTCCTCTTCCTCTTTACAGACACACACCCACACACACAAACACACAGACATACGGACAAGATAGATTGCAAAACAAAAAAATTTTTCCGACTCCGGGAGGTGTAAAACGTCGAGATTTGCAAAAATCTTTTTTTTTTTTTTTGCACTATTACAATACTTTTTTCTATACTTCGTACTTCGTATATTCGAGAAAGAAAAATGGAAAAAAAACACGATTTTTATCCTTGTCAATAATAATGCTGGAAAGATTAACTTTTAAAACGTTGCTTAAATTTTGCTTGCAATTTTATGACCCTGACAACTAACAGGCGATGGGCAGAGGAATCATTTTTTTTTAAAGTTAAATAAAAATAAAATTTCTACACAAATAGAAAATTAAAGGGAAATTACTCTAGAATCTAGATCTATTTCTATCAAATTTTAATTTACTGTCTCGAACATTTCCTAACACTGTTGTTAAACGTAATTTCAAGACATTTTAATGATTTAGCTAATTTACCTTAATTGTTAGGCCTTTTCATTATTCAATTAATCATCCATACAGTAAGTATAATAATAGGCCACTTCTAATGATTATAGCCGAAAAAACATACGCATGCGCAATGGAGAGAAACTACGACTTTACTTCGAGGCGATGTATTCGATTGTATTGCGCATGCGTGTGTTTACAAACAAAACTCAGAACCACAGGTTAACTCTAACGCCAACCCTAACCTAGGCTTTTCGATGTCCGCCATTTTGCTTATATATGGCCACATCCAAACTTTTTCATGCCAACTTTTTGTAGTTTCGGCCATTTTCCCCCCAAGTGCTTACTTACCACGAGAAAATCGGTAAATTAGTGTTTTCGATACGGCAAAGTGTTTTTATGTTCTATATATCTATGGAAATATATTAGCTCCGTTTTAACATATCGATTCCAATTTTATCGAGCTATCTTAGCGAATACGTCTCATTAAACGCAGTGCCCGAGCTTTTTTTGTTGAGAATGGAGGCGAGCGAGTTGACGAGATTCCTTCCATAATGTTGTTGACATGGAATAAAAACGTGCTTTTTAGATTTAGACCGTAAAAAAAAATAAAAAATAAAAACTTAAGCCAAAAATTAATTTAGAAATTTTATATTCTTAGAATAAATGCTATAAAAGTTGCAAATCCAGAGAACTTGAAAATAATTTGTTGAGTTTAAGGCTACATTTCTATTTGGAAGTGGCTATTGGGACCCGGGTCCTAATAGCCTCGGCCGCTATTGGGACCCGGGTCCTAATAGCCTCGGCCGCTATTGGGACCCGGGTCCTAATAGCCTCGGCCGCTATTGGGACCCGGCATTAAGTTCGTTAAGCACTTGTACAACCTGTATTAAATTTATACCTTTTATGTTTATTTGATTTTTCTTGTGGATTTGCTCGTATTTTGTTGTCTTTTATTGTAATTAGTTATGCGGATTATCTAGCGTTTGTTCTTGTGTTGCTATTACTAAATACCCTATATTTAGCTGTATATACAAAATCATTAAATATACGCAATTATCGTAAGACGTCGTGGTCGAGTGGAGAACGCGGTATCTCCTGCATCTCGATCAGTTACGGGATCGGAACCTATCAAAGCTCTCGTTTTTGCGTGAACTAAGTGTATTTATCTAAGTCTAACATTCCATTGAGTTGTTTGCAAGAGTGTCTTTTTATAATTGTTTTTTTTTTAAATAGATTTTTTTTTCTCTAGATTTAGGTTTTTAAACACACCAATTAGGCCCTATAAAAACATCGTTGCTCCATTGATCGCCCGCTCGCGTTTTCTGGTCAGCGCAAGAAAAATACCGACACGGTCTAGCCAGGGTCACTGTGAGTTCAGATTGGTTTAGATGTGAATAGTGTAGGCGTATAGCATACGTCATAGCAAGACCATGGCTATGAGCTTATCGAGATTCGTCGTCGCCGTAGTCCCCCCCCCCCTCCCCACTCAACCCAGCAAGAGGGAAAAACGGATTTGGGGTCATTGTGAGTTCAAATGTTACGTATTGCTTCTATTAAAGCGTACTACAACGCATGCGAGATATTCGTGTTCAAGAAAACTGGCCAAAAGCTGTAGTCTGCAGCCTATATGAGCTATCTTATACAATTATATATATATGTATATATATATATATATATATATATATATATATATATATATATATATATATATATATATATATATATATATATATATATATATATATGTGTGTGTGTGTGTGTGTGTATGTATATATTTGGACGGATAGACCTATGAAATCAAATTACGTTTAACAGAAGAAAAAACAACACATTTTTACATGCGCGCTCAACATTCGCTCGGTCATAGAAGTTCATACCATAGGTCATAATTATATTATAGACCTAACGACACACAGTAATGATATCGGGTATTTAAAGCAAGATCTCAATATATAATTTAGAATTACAAGGAAAAAATCACAACAGAAAAGATTTATTCTGCATCTTAAAAGAATTTTTGTATAACTAAATCTTAGCAATTCTATTGGCTGGTCCCAATAGCGGCCGAGGCTATTAGGACCCGGGTCCCAATAGCGGCCGTGGCTATTGGGACCCGGGTCCGAATAGATGCATCCTTTCTATTTATTTGCATCAAGCCTAAGTTATAACCGGATGTTTCACTTTCGTAAGACAAATATTGATTGGCTGTACAGTAACTTAGTGATCGATAACTATTTGTTTACAAAACTTTGCAGATCAAGTTTTTAAATAACAATGCAAATTTAAAACCCCATGACCTAGTTTTCTATTTTTAGCTTACAATGTGTACAATAAAATCTATGGCGGCCTATCCATGCCATTGTTTATGTCGCCATTACACGTGAAAACCAAATTGTTTTTGCTTTTTTTTTTTAATTTTTATTTAGTTACCGAAAATATTATAAACATCAAATACATCCAATCTTTAGTAAAGTCCGAAAAAAACCAGACAGGCAGGATTTTATAACCATATTAATTGTAACTACGCTGTGCATGATTTTTAAATGAATGTATACACCTCTCAAATACCTTTACTTTGAGACTTTTCTCGCTGGTGTCCATTGATGTTTGCAAGAAAGTAAAGTTTAAAGACATAAAGACATAAATCGTAACATGCTTGAAAATAATAAAAAGCATTGGTAAATCAGCAAATCTTGGTGGTGCCCGCGGACACAATCCTGTAACAGTGAGACAGGGGCCGCGAGGCTACCTATTATCGATAGAACTAACATCATAAGGGTAATCTATCGTTTTGGGGCGTGGGGAAATTGCGAGACGCGAAAAGCGAAATGGCGAGGCGGGAAAATGCGAGAAGGTAATGCGAGACATACCTGCGGAATTAAGGGTAAATAGCGAGACACTTTTTGCGAAAAAAGTTTTTTCCTTTTTTTTTCCATCTTTATTTATTTAAATTATTATTTTTTTTAAAAAAAATAAACAAGCATTTAGCCATACCCTTTAACACGAGTGTTGTATGTTGTTTTTTTTATCTAGATACTAAGAAGATAGATAGATCTATATCTAGATCTATCTATTTAAAAATTCAAACATCGTTGCTGTGCTACTGTCATCGCCCGCTCTTGTTAGCGAGAGGAAAATCCCGTCTCAGTCGGCATTAATTTAAAAATCTAGCCCGCTCATGTTTATACAAACGTGAGCTGTGTCATTGTGAATTGGTATAATCTTGTCAGCAGGAGAGATATTTTGCAACATCTATTTATGGATTTTTGTACTTGCAAAAAGTTTAAAAGTATAAACAATTCTAAAAAGTGCAATTTATTATTTTATTAAGTAATTTTAATTACAAACAAAATTTACAAACAAAATCTTCTGAAACAGTCCTCAAACACACCTCGTGACACCATCTTTCACACATAGTACACCCAACCCAGTTCATTAGACTCCCATTTATACATTTTTCTTTTGCTACTTCTTCCAATCCACATTCACAACATTTCACATTCTCATCACAGTTGACCTCCTCGTTCATCCCACAAACAACACTGGCACCCATGTTCTCATCATCATCATCCGCAAGCTCAACATCTGTTTTCCGTTTTATTATAATTTGTATTTTTTATCATTTCTGTAATTTTGGCAATGTCTTGCTCATTGTTGTCACCAGCAGTTGAGTTTTTTTAAAACATCGATATTTTCCCAAAATCTTGTCTAATTTCGGTCAAAATAGAGTATTTTAATCAATCCCTATTACAATGTATTAAAACAGTTTTCTAAAACGCGAAAAAACGTCTAAAATTCTTTTTCTAACATTGCTTTTTTATAGTGTGACTTCACATCTAACCCCCCCTCCTCCCCCTCATCACACATCGTCATAAAATTACAGACCACCCTCCCCCCCTTTACGAGTGTGACGTCATTTATGGAAGACCCCAAATAACACCACCACCAAAACCAAAAAAATTCAGATAAGTTCAACTTGGTTTTAAAAATATTTGAAGTAGGCCCATAGCTTACGATATAGCACGAGCAACTGATAATATCGGTGACGTCACTTTACTTTGTTGTATCCAAATGATGTGGCATTTCCTTGTGCTTAGATTTATATGGTAAAAAAAGCTAGAAAAAAATCGTAGGCGGCGGCTATAATACAAAATTTCTATGCAACAATAGAAAATATGTTTGCGGCGGCAGCGGATCCGGGCACTGCGATCTTCAAAGAAGGTACATCAGGCGGCCTCGGGGTTCCACACAAAAGACAGAAGTTGATCTATCGTCGGCGGTATTTCCGTCGGTTTCGAAAAAGGTGGTATTCTAAGTCGACACAAAAGGTGGGGGGAGTTGACAAATCATCAGTATGTCTAGCGACGGAAAAATCGGAAGTTTTAACAATGTAAACGAAACGTCTTTGAAGTCTGGACCAAATACCACTGAAAATCGGGTGCGGTAAATTTTTCGCAGAAATCTTCGCATTTCAACACCACCCAGCGTAAGTATCGGCTTGTGGTAAAATGCGAGACAAAAAAGTCACGTGACCGACCGTTTTCGCGCCCTTCTCGCATTTTCCCGCCTCGCCATTTCGCTTTTCGCGTCTCGCAATTTCCCCACACCCATCGTTTTGGGTACGTAAAATCGCCGGCGACTAGTAATGTGAAAAACAGGTGACTCCTTAAATTTTAATAATTATTTCACATTTTGAGGAGGATTTATGTTTTTGTAAATTACAAAAATGTTTCCTTTTTTCATTTATGTAGGCTACCAATAATCATTATTAAATAATTTATTTAAACAATTGAATTAAAAATTTTCAGTCAGTAGGCCTAGGCCTAATAATTTTAAATAAATAAAGACTAGCGATGTTTCCAACAGATGCAACCATGCTCATTTACTATAGCAGCCATCTTGTTTAAGTTTTTTTTGTAAACTTAAAGCGGATATAGCGCGAGATTCAGGGGGAAGCCACTCTATTTTACAAATGGCTGCTGTTTCAAATCTTGCTCGCAAACACTGCTGTTTAAAGTTAATTTCTGGCATAGGCCTTTATTGATATATTTAGCCATTGATTTAGGTTTATTATTCATTTATCTATAATATTTGACACAAATATATCACAATATACTTCTATTAAAGTTAATTAAAGCCTTGACAATAAGGTAACTTTTTTGTACATTAATAGTAATAGCCGTGGGCGATTTTACGTACCCAAACCGATAGATTACCAACATTGAACATAAGATTAAGATTTATGCACTATGCAGTATGAAATGTGACTGTGGCAATCATTGTAGAACGGCACCACACATTACCTTAATTGGGCTTAATTAAATTAATTATTAGTTGTTTTCCTTTTGATTGATCTTTAGACTTTAGTTCACATGCATATTCCTATTGTCTAAACTCTCTAGAAAGAAGCAAAACATACATACATATAATTAATAAATTATTATAAATAGTTAAATACAGTCTATTCATATATGATTATATGAATAATAATATCATCAATATGATCTACGGCCAACATGCTTTCTCTATTTTTAAAACCTTGACTTAACTTTTTTACTTTCTCATATGATATACAAAGTATAGAGGAAGTATTGTTAGCATGCACAAAATCTAGATGTTTGACATCTCCTTAAGTCAGCAAAACATAGTTTGGCAATTTTGTCCGTTTGTCTGTGTGTGTGATGTTTTAAATAAACTTAAATAGGTTTTAAATAGTTATAGTATTAATGTATTGGATTGAAAAGCAAGACATTTATTTATGAATTTGCATTAATAAAGTAGCTGCTGTATGTGGCAGATGATAAGGCACTTTGTTGTTCATCTACATTTCATTTTTGTCTGTGGTTAAAATGGTTTACATTTGTGTTTCAGTTTGTGAAAGGGGCAGCATGGAATACACAAAATATTGCACTGAACATGGTTCTATAAAAATTGAATCAGAATCACAGGTAGGCCTTAAAGTACAACTGCTGCTTTGAAAGATTACACCCAGAGTGACCTATTACAAATATGCCTAAATGGTTATACTTTTGCCTTCTGTAAAAATCTACATAGACACCAGCATAAATATGTTTTATCTTTTTGTGGAAACCTTTAGATCCTGGAGTAGATTTTTACATTCTTTTACATTCATTTAGTTAAAATTACATTATAGTAGTTCTACTCTATGGCTCAGAGCCATGGAGAACAACAGAGTCAATAACAGAAAGTCAAAAGGAAATAAAATAATTGTGTATGCTGAAAAGAGTGGCAGGATGCAGTGGAAAACTTTGACAGACCCTGTGATACGTATGGAATGAAAAGGAAAAATGATGATGAGTTAAAATGACAGAAGTACTAGTTTACTTGCATCTTCTGTAACAACATGTCTCCCTTCCCTTCTTGTCAAATATCAAGGTGGTGAAAAGTTTATGAACTTTCTCTGACCCTGCTTATGTTGGCTCTTTCTCTATTAAATCTAAATCTTAAATCTAAATCTACCTTGTTTTGTTTTTTACAGTTTTCAATCAGCAAGGTTACCTATGCTAGCATTGTTATTTATAAAATTATCACGAGGCTACTCAAAATTTACATTCTGAAAAATTGGCAATTTTCTTTGTTGTTTTTTATTTTTTTTTTTTAACTTCTTGCAGTCTAGATTTTAAAAAATATAATTTATAAAAAAAAAAAATTATAGTGGACCCTATGTGTAACATAACTGACTATCTTCATTGTACCAACACATATTATGATAATATTAACCAGACTTTGATCCCTTGTAGGCCTAGGTAAAGTATTATTATTTAAAAAGTTACAGACAGAAGCAGATTATTACAGAACATCTATAAAAATGTTTTGTATTGTTGAACAGGTTTCACCAGACTGCATCAATGGTGAGGACAAAGATTATTCTAGGACAACTCTGCCCCCTGGGCTGATGATTAAAACATCAGACATACCTGGCGCAGGACTTGGAGTTTTTGCCACAAGATTTTTTCCTGCCGGGACAAGGTTTGGGGCATTTGATGTGAAGAAAGAGAGCATCGAGCAAATGGCACATGGCTCTGAGTATTGTTGGGAGGTGAGCACAATCTAATTAACTTTTACTCACTAATGATTGACAAAATTTTTATGTGATGCTTTCTGGTACATTCAAATGAACCAGAACAGATTTTATAATAGATGTTTAACCCTTTACAGTCCTATTTGACTGTGGTATCCCTAGAATTTTGATTTGTGTTACAGTCTGTTGCATCAGTATTCCCCTGAATTATGTATAGTTTAATTATGTGTAGTAATGAAAGTCTAATTGGTAACACAATTTATAAGTGTGAAATAATAAGTTTTATTTACATTGTTTTCTCATTGTGCTATCACTAGCGGTTAATTTTCCTAAAGTTAAGAACTTTTTCTTAAAATTTACAGGCAATATAAATATTGAAATTGAAAAGTGAATAAATGACCTTGGATGTTGAATCAGGATATATTAATTTGACTAGTATTATGATATTGAAAAAAAAGTAGTTCCAGTGACTAAATTTTTACTTTCTCATATATGAAGTATAGAAGAAGTATTATAATCACGCAAAAAAAAATCGAGATTTTTCACAGATCTTGACGTTTTACACCTCCCTGATTCGGAAAAATATAGTTTTGCAATTTTGTCCATATGTCTGTGTGTTTGTAAACACGATAACTTGAGTGCTGATACAACTAGGTTGATTAAATTTCATATTTAAGTATAATATCAAATTTGTAGTTCTGTATCAACTTTTCAGCAATTTCAGATAACCAGAAGTGGAACTTAATTTACTTTCAGTTTTTCAAAAGCCTATAACTTGAGTACTGTTTCAGATAGATAAACGAAATTTTACATGAAAGTAAAGTAAAAGATCTAATTCTCTGACTTCTCTCAAATTATGAGTAATTTCCATTGACCAGAAGTAGTAATTTACGCTATTTCCGATTTCTAAAAAAACGCATGTAAATTTATAAAGTACTAATAATATTCCGCACTATTATACACATTTTTTATTTGGTGTTAACTTGGTGTGCAATTCTTTTTTCTACGAGATTCTATTCTATTTTAAAAATTTTAAGTAATTGAAAATGGATTAAAAATATTGTCTATATCCCGGGGTGCCATCCCCCATAGTGTTATATAAGAATATTCGAGGAAGTTAAGGGGAGATAACTCCCAGTTTATTTTTGTAGCATTCAAAATAAATGTTTTATTTAATTAATGTCAGAAGTAGCTTTTTATTTATGTTTTTCTGGGATGAATATTATTTTTATTTATTATTGGTAAATTCACACACAAAAAGCTTCAACCATTTTCCTATATAATTTGCTTTATTTTTTATTTTTATTTGGGTATTTTAAAATAATTTGTTTTTTAAAAGTAAATATGTCATTTGCCTGGTTGAAGGCAAAGTAAAATAGTTTTAAATTCTCAGGATTAAAAACTAAAGTCTTACTAAGATTTGATGCTATCCCTTTCTAAGCCAACTTTTTCTGAGATCTTTTACTCCATGAAATCTGTATTTGTTTAAACTTTGATTTTTAAAGAACACATTTCATCAGGCAATGAGATTCCTTTTATTTGAACTTTACTTTCATGCAAAACAAAGTGTAATATTTTTATTTTTCTTCAAGAATGGGAGGCTGTCCCATTTTGTTGATGCCAGTGACAGCTCTGTTTTAAACTGGATGAGATTCGTAAAATGTGCACGTTATGAGGATGAGCAGTGTGTCACAGCATACCAGCACAATGGTGAAATGTACTATATGGCTCATAGGGACATCGTTTCTGGCTCAGAGATACTGGTAACTGTCTTGTTTACGCCATAAAATTTGAGTGATGGGGGGTTGGAGGGTTAGTACTTCTAATAAAATGTGTGAGGGGGGGGGGAAAGGGTTAGAGCTTTTAATTGATTTATAGATTTTAATTATTTATTTTTTTGCATATGGCAATTTAAAAAACAAACCACAACTTAATTAGGCAAGTAATAGCAATCTGGTACATTTTAATAAGGAGTGAACTTAACAGTCCTTATTTAGGCAGAGTAATCCAATAATTTCTAGTGCAGATAACTTTTTTGGGAAAACATTTAAAGTTGAAAATTAACATCAGTTATTTGTTCACAAAAAATAAAGGAGGTTATTTTATTATTTATGATGAAATATTTCAATGTAATGATTAAGTCTAAGCAGTGAAAATATCACTTGGATTTTTCACATGCAATTTTACTGAATATGTAATATTACAGTTTTTGATTTTAAACTGTTAAGTAAATAAAATGTATTTTAAATATAAATATGTCAATCTTCTGACACTGTTTTATTCCACTGTCCCTTTCTGCTGGTCAACCATATTTTCAAAATTGACCTCATCACTTTCAAGAATGTGATACCAATAATGGACTGCCTCCTTAACTGTAATTTTGTTTAATTTATCAGTAGCTCTAACAGAACCCTAACTTAAAATATATTAACTATGAAAGCATTCAATTTAAAATAAGCTAAATGTGTAATTAATTTTATTTTAAAACTTAACTAATATTTTGACGTAGTTACACATTTAAACCAACACAAATTCCAATCTACCCATTACACAAATTCGATTGAAAAATTAAATTATATTGCAAAATACTTCAACCGATAAAATTGCCACAAACTATGTTACTATTTTTTTTAACTCAAATATCTTAACGGAACCGTTTGATAAACCAAGTCAATTTTTTTATCATTTTGAAATTTAACAACACTTACCCAATCTTCATCTAAACTTAATATCTCACCCATTTAAATGTACCTCAAAATCTACCAAAACAATAAAGGAATCCAACTTTAGCGTATCCTAACTCAAACCTTACTGAAATAATGAATATTATCAGCACTCCTAGTCTTATAATGCACCAATATGAAAAAAAATGAACCTGATCTGTTTGAGGCGTTTGCATTTCTATAGTGGATATAGTCTGCTGGCTATACAACATAACTTATGCCTTTTTTTATAAATAAATATAAATGTACCCATATAAATAAAATAAAAGGCTTGATTAACACTTTTGTCCGGGGGTGAATTAGGGCCCTTCTTGTTCCACCACTGAGAAGCATTTAAGCGTATATGACACAAACAAGTATATTAGTTTTTAGACATGTCTAAAGTTGGATTTTTATAAAATTGACCATTGATTTACATGAAAAGTATAATAAAATACTTGATTTGGTTAGAAGTGCCGGACGACACTACACCATCTGTTTTAATGGATTGAATGTCTTTATTTAACTAGCAAGGAACAGTATTTGACATTTTCAGGTTACTATGGTGACAACTATATTTAACTGCTATAGAAGAGTGTATTTTACTGAGAATCATGTTAGATTTTACTTAACTAGTATAGCTTAGTATTCTCAAATTTTTAGGTGTACTATGGTGACAATTATACCAGAGACCTGAGTATTCAGGTACAGAAGGTTGGTGTTGTGAACAATGACTGTGGTAAATAGAGTTTATTTATTTATTTTTATTGAATTGATTGTTCTTCAGTACACACATCTCTGATATCTAATAATGCTATCTTTAAAAATCTATTTGTTCTACCACATGACAACAATTTTTACAATTTATGCTAGACTTTATCAGACAAACAAAATAGAAAAGCAAATGTCTAATTGAAGGGACGCTGTGGCCTAAGTTATAAAGCGCTAGGCTGTTAACCCAGAAGTCTTGAGTTCAAATCTGAGTTCAAGTGAGTTGATCGTCCTTGAATCCAGCCAACTGTGGGTACCTATCTCATGTTAAGGAAAGTAAAGGCAGTGGTGCTTTGAGACTTTGGTTAGCAGTCAAGCACTCTATAATCTGGCCACACTGTGTCATTTTGAGACAGTTCGAACCCTCAATGCTGTCATATATCTTTTACAGATATTGTTACAGATATCTATCAGTGTCAGCATTGCAGTTTGGCTTTTTCAAAACTTTCCTATTTAAATTCACATTTAAAAAAGAAACATGAAGGGAAAAACATTGACAATAAAGGTCTGGATCTCACAGTTAACAACAGTGGACATTCTTATCAGTTATCAAACTTTCATCAACAACGTAGAATTCATAGAGGAAAAAAGCTTCACAAGTGTGAAACTTGTGGTAAATATTTTGCAAGATTTTATCGTATAAAGATACACCTTAGAACTCATCTGGGAGAAAAGCCATACAAGTGTGACCAATGTGGTAAATGTTTTAGCCAGTTAGGTCACTTAAAGCAACACCATAAAACACATTCAAAAGCAAAGCGATACAAGTGTGACAAATGTGGTAAAAGTTTTAATACTCTTTGTGAAATAACAAGACATCTTAGAATTCATATTGGAGAATTGCCTTACATGTGTGACATTTGTGGTAAAGGTTTTCCCAAGCCTGGCATCTTAAAGATACACAATAGAATTCATACAGGAGAAAAGCCTTACACGTGTGACAAATGTGGTAAATGTTTTGCAAGTACCAGCTGTTTAAGGGGACACAATAAAACTCATTCAGTAGAAAAACCTTACAAGTGTGATACATGTGGCAAATGTTTTAGCCACATGAATAGCTTAAAGATTCACCAAAGAGTTCACACAGAAGAGAAGCCATACAAATGTGATCAATGTGGTAAAAGTTTTACCCAGTTATGTACCTTAAAGCAACACCATAGGACTCATTCAGAAGCAAAAAGATACAAGTGTGACAAATGTGGTAAAAGTTTTACCACTCTTTGTGAAATAACAAGACACCTAAGAATTCATATTGGTGAATTGCCTTACAGGTGTGACATTTGTGGTAAAGGTTTTCCCCATCCTGGCATCTTAAAGATACACAATAGAATTCATACAGGAGAAAAGCCTTACACGTGTGACAAATGTGGTAAATGTTTTGCAAGAACACGCTCCTTAAGGGAACACTATAGAACTCATTCTGGAGTAAAACCTTACAAGTGTGATACTTGTGGTAAATGTTTTACCCAGACAAGTATCTTAAGGATTCACCAAAGAGTTCACATAGAAGAGAAGCCGTACAAATGTAATCAATGTGGTAAATGTTTTACCCAGGTTGGTAACTTAAAGCAACACCATAGGACTCATTCAAAAGTAAAACGATACAAGTGTGACAAATGTGGTAAAAGTTTTACTACTCTTTGTGAAATAACAAGACATCTTAGAATTCATATTGGAGAATTGCCTTACATGTGTGACATTTGTGGTAAAGGTTTTCCCAAGCATTGCATCTTAAAGATACACAATAGAATTCATACAGGAGAGAAGCCTTACAAATGTGACAAATGTGGTAAGTGTTTTACAAGTACCAGGTGTTTAAGGGGACACAATAAAACTCATTCAGGAGAAAAGCCATACAAGTGTGATAAATGTGGTAAATGTTTTCCCTATCCTGGCATCTTAAAGATACACAATAGAACTCATACAGGAGAGAAGCCTTACATTTGTGGCAAATGCGGTAAGTGTTTTACAAGTACCAGCTGTTTAAGGGGACACAATAGAACTCATCTAGGAGAAAAGCCTTACAAGTGTGATAAATGTGGTAAATGTTTTCCCTATCCTGGCATCTTAAAGATACACAATAGAACTCATACAGGAGAGAAGCCTTACATTTGTGACAAATGTGGTAAATGTTTTGCAAGAACACGCTCCTTAAAGGAACACAGAAGAACTCATTCAGGACAAAAACCTTACAAGTGTGATAAATGTGGTAAATGTTTTACCCAGACTAGTAACTTAAAGGTTCACCAAAGAGTTCACAAAGAAGAGAAGCTGTACAAAGTGTGATAAATGTGGTAAATGTTTTACCATGTTAGGTAACTTAAAGCAGCACCATAGGACTCATTCAGAAGCAAAATGATATGAGTGTGACAAATGTGGTAAAAGTTTTACTACTCTTTGTGAAATAACAAGACACCTTATAATTCATATTGGAGAATTGCCTTACAGGTGTGCCAAAGGTTGTGGTAAAGGTTTTCCCAAGCATGGCATCTTAAAAATACACAATAGAACTCATACAGGAGAGAAGCCTTATACATGTGACAAATGTGGTAAACGTTTTACTCAGCTTGGTAACTTTCTTATGCACCATAGAATTCATACTGGAGAGAAGCATTACAAGTGTGACTATTGTGGTAAACATTTCACACACATTAAGACTTTACAAAAACACCACAGAATCCATACAGGCGGTAAGCCTTATAAGAGTGACCATTGTGGTAAATGTCTCAAATATAAATTACTACTGTACAAAACCACCTTAGAATTCATAAATAAGAGAAGCCTTAAAAGTGTGGTAAATGTTTTGCAAGTACAACTCTTTGCAACATAAAAAACATATAAGAATTCATTTAGAAGAATGACTTTTAAAGTGTGATAATTGTGGAAGATGATTTTTAAGAATCAGACTTTAAAGGCACACCTTAGAACACATATAGGAAAGAAGCCTTCCAAGTTTGACTACTGTGGTAAATGTATTTTATTTTTCATCTCTAACCTTTCTTAGATCTAAAAAAAATGCAGCTCTAAAATATGTTCTGAATTATGTGACACCTATCTTTTTGAGGCTAGTTTTAGGTCTTGTGGTATGTTCTGTACAGCAGATGACCTTTGTAAAAACATTGGTGAAAGTTTTATTAGTTTTCTGTTAGCATTAAAGTTCTTAATGTCATGATTTTCTTTGTCAATTTTTTAACTGTCATAACAGACCAGGAAATTTACTTGGCCATAGTTACATTTTGTAGGGTAAAGAACAATTCAAAAGTTGAGCTGTGGTTTATGCCACGGCTATGATGATCTTAATTGGAATAGGTAGTCCAAACTGAAATTAACTATTGATTGCAGACTTCTGTAATTAGTACATCCTGTAAGAACTTTTAATTGTAAGCTCTATGGCACAAATTTTATAAAAATATCTCAATAAATAAAAAAGTTATGCAATTCTTAAAAAAAGCAAAATTTGGTAAAAAACTAATTTTCAAAAAGTGCCATTTTTGAGAACCCATATTTTCTAAACTAAATAGCATAGAAGTGTAGAAATTGGTATAGTTGCTGCAAAGTTTGTAATATATATGCCCAATTTTTTTCAGTCATCTAAAATGAGTCTTTCTGAGTTAAAAAAAATAATTGAAAGTGACAAGATGCGTATTGGTCATTTTTATTTTCATACATAGAATGACATAGAATAACTCTAAAACTATTGTGTTGGTAACATTAACAGGAAGAATGTGTTCATTATTTTCAAAAATCACTTGAATTAAAAATATTATTTAAAAAATGCTGCATTTATCTAGTGCAGGAGAAACATTCTAAATTTAGTGGGGTTGTAATGTAATGTAGTCTGATAAAGACTTGATGCCTACAAATAATGCAGCAGTTGACGCCACATGCTTTGGTTTCTTTTCAAACCTATCCGGTTGATAACTGCTTTGGAGGAACAGTTTTTAAAACTAAAACTCTTGTTTCCCTCAACCTTGATCTTGTGGAGCATCAAGAGTAAGGGATATGCTTTGGGAACTGTAGGGAGGGGGGGGGGGTGGCCATCTTCCCTTCCCTGCCCTTGTAAGGAAAGAACTGGATAGGCCATCATAAATGTCTCCATCTGTGGAATAAACAATTGATTTAGTGATTAATAAAATATAATTAAATTTACTACTAGCCTGTTGTGTAGGCCTACCATTTGTCCTATTACTAGAAACATGAAAAAGCCTGAAAACACCTTTTTGTTAAAAGTAATTTATACTTGATAGTTATATTCTTAATACTAGTAGTAGGTCTACTGAATGAAATATTCGTTGCTTGTGCCACACTGGTTGAGATATCCAATGATGAACATGCCATACTGTGGTTGGTTCTCAACATCCTATAGGACAACTTAACTGTCCTACATTGTTACTATATGCATATAAAATAAATAATGAGAAACACTACTAGTACTACTGACACAACTAATATAACATTTAAAACTAAGCCACAACATGTACGACCTTAATTATAAATTGCACCCCCACCTAAAAATTGATCTGGTACATTTTATTAAAAATGGTACTTACAAATTGTTTGAAGGCTCTAGCAAGGGTAAAATCCGTTTAGCATCATCGGTCGTCAAGTTTTAAAGTTTAAAACCGTTCGGCGAGCTACTCACTGGGGGCTGAAAGTTGACTCGAGGGTTATATGCTTATTGAGGGCACGGCTTCGCGTCCGTAAATCAGAGATACTTGAATTTACACCACAAAGTAGTTATAAAAGTGAGCTTTACATCGGTGTAAAAATTGAAACAGAATTAGTTTGTTTTCGTGTATAGGCCCCTATATCGTCATTTAAAGTTTAAAAACTGATTTTTTTAAAATTAAATAAACAAGTTATTTTTTTTCAATGTATACATTAAACCACGGGTTCCCAACCTGGGGGTCGCGACCCCCAGGGGGGTCGCGAAGGTCTTTCTGGGGGGTCGCCAACTGGTATACTAAACCTTAGTAATTTGAAACCAAACATAAATATTTAGAAGTCATTCAGAACATACCAAAACATATATTTAGTTCTTTCATCGTTAAGAAGCTAGTAGCAAACGCCAGAGACTTGATCGAACAGGAAGTTTTCACCAGCATTAGTGCAAGCATCAAATGAATTCGCGATAGAAAATGCCAAGCAAAAAAAAAAAACAATAGGAGAAAATCTCATCAAACGCTGCATGTACGTAAATGTTAAATAACACATTTTTATTCATATTAAGCTTTCACCATTGTTTGCTTTTCAAGTTGATAAATCAACAGACGTGAGTTCGTGTTCGCAGTTGCTGGTCTGTGTCTATATTCATGCGGATGATAGCAAAGAAGAGTTGCTCTTTTGTGAAGATAGCCTGGAGAAAATAAATACCTTTTTTGAAACTGGATGATTAAAATGGGTTAGAACGGCTGTGGGGTATTTGTACGGATGGTGCGCAATTTATGTTTAGCTCAAAATCGGGCTTTCAGAAAACAGAAAAGATTTAGCTCCCTTACCACTGCCCTAACCAATCGACATCAAGAGTCCATTGCTAGTATAAGTCGTAGATTATATAAAATCTGGAGCCTTAAAAGACCTGAGCAAAAACATTAATGTAGATCACGAGTTTCTGCTCTTCTACACTACAGTACGCTGGCTGCCAAACGAAATGTTGTAAATTGTGTTTTTGAATTGAAATCTGAAATCAAATTGTTCTTGAAAGTGCAAAGGAAACAAGATTTTTTGGTATACTTAAAACGACATAGAGTGGTTGGAGAGAGTATCATACCTAGCAGATGTGTTCGAACATCAAGATAAGCTTAACCTGAAGCTTCAGGGAAAATGAACGAATATTATAACTTTCCATGATAATCTCGGGGCATTTTTATCAAAGCTGCAAATCGGTAAAGAAAATAAATCTTGGAAATATTGTAAATTTGAGAAACTCTGCAGTGTGGTAGATGAATCTGATTGTGAGATGATAATTAAAATTTTGAAAGAAGCGATTTCTGGGCATCTTGAATCTCTTGAAAACGAACTGCATCGCTATTTCTCTGAGCTGAAAAAAGAAGAATCTGCATTTACGCATTACCCATTCTCTTCTTCCCTTGATGTTGCCAGCATTCCCGATTAATTACAAGTTATTCTTTGATTTGCAGAATGATTCCGAGTAAGATGAAAAACTGCAGACACAATTTTGGTGTAGTATTCACCATTCATACCCAAACATAAAATTGATTGCCTTTTCGAGAATATATTTTCAACACTATTCTTCGATTAAAAACAAAATTAAGATAATTATAATGACATAGGTTGGCATTAACAAATTTTTTTAAAACTTAAAAACTTAACCACGAAGGCTTAGTGAGTAGTATGCAATTTTACTCATGCTATTAAAATAGTTATCAAGAGTAGTTCATATTGAAAGTGTACTAGAAAATCTTATTTTAGTGCTTATTAATTTCCATACTAATTTCGGCTTTTTAATTCTATGGGGGTCGCGGGTCACTTACTTTTTATAAAAGGGGGTCGCCACTCGAAAAAGGTTGGGAACCACTGCATTAAACGATAGGCTAGAATTCGCTTTTTAAAATGACATTAAGATTATGCTTCTACGATGCTTCGTCGCGAAGCTGCGACCAAATGAGACAGTGTGGGGTCAATCGGTACTGGCAAAACGGTGAAATTTGTTGACGTAACTGATACTTTTCAAACAAATATAAAACACATTAAAACAGGGTTACATATATAAAAATACCAGATTTCGGCAGATAAAGACAAACTATATTGACATATAATTTTCATTTTTATAGCACAACTAGAAGTAGTGCATTATTTTTCAAACCGCAAAAAATGACCCCAAAACGCACTTTTTCGCCAGTTTGGACTACCTAATTGGAATCAATTTCATTTTTTTTATGAGTCATTGAATGGCAGACTTTATAAAAATTTAACTTGATTATTAGATTAGATAGATCAGTATTTTCATTGACTAAATCCATTACATCCCCTGCTGAGCATAGGGCTGTGGCAACACCTCTTCCCTGGACACCCAGCAGCCCTTGCTTCCTCTTCCAGACCTTTTCTATTATAGCTTTGGTACTAATCTTTTAACCCGGGGCTCTATTCCAATGCTTGCCTTGTAATGTTATCTTCTCAAGGCATGCCCGATCCATCCTCATTTGCGAGCTTTAATAAAAAATTAATAACCCTCCAGGATTCGGAGGCATAAAGCAGTAATGCCTTAAGATTTGTGTTGACCATTCTTATTTTGCTCTGGAGAGACAGTGCTGGCAATTCTATATCAGTGTATTCAGTTTCTTTCTGATATCTCTATGGGGAGGAGGGTGGGGCAGTTTCTTTCCCACCATCCCACCCCTAATGAAATTGAAAAATATAAAATGTATGTAGAAAGTATATACTTGAACCAGTGCTTTTTGGTGCCCTGATATGCTGTTGAAGTCAGTGCTGTAGTTGCAACAGGTTAATAAAATGCAGGTGCAAGATTACCCATGGGTGTACCCTATAGTTATTAGTACCTTATTATGGAGATGTGGAATGTAGTTATAAAGAGACAGTCTAATAGCTTAGATTAATTTGACACTGTAAGCAGAAACTAACCTAATTAGAATAGGGAATCATAAAAAGATAGAACTAGCTAGGAATGCTGCACAATTGATACTAAATTAATAGATGAAAGTGGAGTGGGAGAGTTGTTCGAAAGGCAGAGGCGACCATGAGTGTTTGGTGTATAAGCATTAAACACTAGCAACAGAACTCCACCTTCGCCAACTGGTTTAACTTACCGTAGCAGTTACTATGCCTACACCAGTTATAGTTTGTGTGGTTCCTGGTGTCGAGAGGGGGGGGGGGGGTGTGCGCTGCTATCGGGGTAAAGAAATTTTACTTTTAATATATCTACTTACATTTTTCAAATTCAATAGAATCGAGTTGAAATATAATTGTGCACCAAATGAATGCAATT